CCCCCCCCAGCACCCACCAGCACTGCAATGGGACAGTCCGGCCCAGGGCATCTATGACCTAAATCCACACCTCTCTCTCTAGGAAAATGCAGACTGTGCCCCAATTTCATCAAATCAGACCCATCTCCCATGGTTATCCATAGGTGAGGTAGTCCTCAGAGACAAGGCAAATGCCCATTTGTGGAAATCAGCTCTTAAACCAGCTTTTATTCTCTCCCAGTTTTAGCAGCCATCACATTTGGAAGGTGTGTTTTCCGTAAGAAAGCTGCTACGTGTTATCGACACTAAAGCTTTTAATATCTTCCCTCCTAATTAGGGGTTAGTAGACCAGTGGTAAAAATAGGCGGGTGGCAGCGGTGAGCTCACCATACGGCCAAGCCTAAAGAGGTCAGGCGATGTCCTGCGAAATGCAGGACGGGAACGGTCTCACGGTTAGAGGCTTTGCATCTCCAGCGTGTCGGGAGAGAGGGATAAAACTGGTTAGAAATCTGGAGTGGAGACTTCCTCATACAGAGAGAGAGAGAGACCAAAGGCTAGTCTGCATTGGGGAAGGAAAGAAGACAAGGAGATCACCTAAAAGATACCCTACATAATACTATGAATAATTCAAGAGTCTCCTTTGGCTTCGCCGTGTGCTACAGGCTCCCAGGTAGCAGCCCAGAAATTCAGGGCTAAGAAAGGATTTGAGGCACAAGAAGAGCACGCTCAGCAATTGGGGCCCTGCTGGGGTAGGATGCTGATCTACGGCAGGGAAACGGCATGTTTGGTCCCTGACGCTTGTCCCCTCAAACCCACGTATCCCCCAAAAGCAAGTCAGGGCTGAGCTCGCTCCTCACCATTCGTCACTCCCGCTGCTGCGCAGGCTGAACTTCTCCATGGGGTTGACGACAAACAGCTTGTCTTTCTCTGTCACCTCCGGGATCGGGATGTTGTAAAGAGGATGCTTGAAGAGTGCCGCCAGCTTTGATCCCTCGGTCCGCCCCGCATTCCCCTCTCCGCGCTGGTGCCGGACCCCCGGCTCTGCAGCCCTCGCGTGCGGCCCCGCTCCCTGCAGCTGGGAGCTTTTCTCCAGGGAGCCGTTGCTGCCGCTGAAATCCTGAAGGATTCGCAGGCTCAGCTTTTTGGGGCTGGCCAGCACGGGGCTGCCTGATGGGACACCCGAGGCTTTCGGTGCTTTCGCATCACAGCCACAGGGCCTGAGAGCTGCGGGGAGAGCCAAATCCATCGCCAGGTGCACCAGGAGGGCCAAGAGCAGGAGAAAGAGGAGGCTGACTTTAAATTTCCTTTGGAAAAGTGTTCGTAGCCGGCACCGCATCCTTCCTCGCCAGAGAGGAGGCAGTGGGACAGGGCGGGAGATTGCAGTGGGGTTTATCAGTGCTGATAAGGGGCAAGCTGGCACTGCCAAGGTTAGCGTGAACGGGGCAAGTTCCAAATCAATAGCCGCAAGACTGGCTTGGGGACAGCGATGGCTGCAGATAACCCCCACACTGTCTTGTCCCTCCGTGCTGTCACCTGCATAAGGCTGCAGAACATTTCTTGGTATACAGGGCATTAAAGCAGTTCTGCCCCTCTGCAGCACCCACCCTGCCCAGCACTGCGCAGCCCCATTCCCCATGTCCATCATATCCGTACACTGGCAATCCAGGAGAGTTTTTCTTCTGCTGCTCAGCCAGAGCAATTTTGTCACCCTCCCCTATCTATTCAAAATCACTTGTACTCAACCCCTTTTTTTTTTTTTCAAAAACCACTCAAATTAGGTAAAACGAAGGGGATGTGAATATCAGCATCGCTGGGAGGAGAAAAGCTGGGCTGGCAGTGGAAGGAAGGGCTGCCAGGCAGGTGAGGGTCACAGACAGGGATGCTCCCAGGGCCTCTGAAGCAGGCAGGGGAGGCAGGCAGGCAGGAGTGGGGGTGCTGCCTGCTGCCTCGGGCATTAGCACAGAGGGGCAGCGGGACCCACTGAGGACTGAGGAGGACTAGCAGCTTGTGGAAGGGAAAGGCAGCCCGTTTTTACAAGAAATTCACTTTTCCAGTGACACAGAGCTGGGCTGAGTGGGCAACAATGGTTGGTGACTCGTAGGGAGGGAGCTTTGGATTTGTTAAGGGACAAAGAAGAACAGGACCACCCGCAACAAGCCTGGGGGCTTGGGTACAGAGTCCGGAGCGATGTTTTTCCTCCTTTCGATTTCCCGAAGGATGCAGAGCGCATGTGAAATACCATATATCATGCGGTCCTTCCTTGCTGCGTGATGTACCAGCAGCCAGCTCGGGCATCCTCACTCCAAGCCAGGGAGGGTATGATGAGCGGCAGGCAGGAGGGGATACGCTGGACACCCCCTCCTCTGCTGCCATCCCTGCACTACCCTCTTGCTCACCCTGCCCTCCCGGCACCATCCTGTGCCGGCTCCGTCCGTGCCAGACTCAGCTCCCTCCCAGGCGGTGCGGCGAGAACACGGTGTTCCCGGTGTTCTCGGCTTGCCGTGTCCCACAGCGTGACAGTTGCCTGGAAACCACCTCCGGCTGACACCATCAGCCGCCCCAGATTCAGCCAGCCCCGCGTTCCCTTCCCCGCTCCTTGTGCTAACAAGATGGCCGATGGGAGCTGGGGTGAATGGGGAGGAGGAGGAGGAGAGCTTTCCAGCCCGGCTGGCGAGCTCGAAGCCCTGCAGAAGGAGCTGGGTGGAGGGGAGCAGATGGCTTCCCCTGGGAAGGGAACACGGTGTCTTGCTCCAAGAGGTTTGCTGGATCCAGTCCGGACGTACGATTTGGAAAGAAGGCGCCTAGGAGGGGCTGTAGCTGGAACACGGGATCGTTAGGTCATTGCTTAGGAAAAAAAAAACACCAACAAAAACCATGTGCTAACCGCTCGCATCAAAGGAGCTGGGCTCGGCTCCCGGAGCAGGGCCACATATTTCTTTATTCCAGGGCCAGCCCTGGGAGACCGAGGGGAAAGCGAGACCCCCCCCTCCTTCCAGTGCCTCAAACCAGCTCCAAACTGGGCTGGGGGGGATAGAAACATCCCTCCCACGTCCTAGAGCCATATGGGGACAGGGACCCTATGGGCTGAAGCCACCCTACTGACCGGGAGTCCCATCCCCGGGCTAGGAGAGCTTGCAATCCTACCCCCCGCCCCTATTTAGCATCCCATTGGGAAGTGGAGGCAGGGGGATTAGGTGGGGCACTTGCCACTCTTAGCACTTCAATGCCGGCATTAAATATTAACCAAAAGATTTTTCAGTGAGTCAGACACGAGCCCACAGCAACGGGGAAGAGCTGGAGAGCTTCAAAGCCTGCCCCAATTGCCTGACAGCATGTTGACGTACTTTGTTGCCATGACATCATCGCAGAGAAGCGGTTGAGTTTGCACCTCTTCCCTCCCATCTCGCCGCCCCCCCGCTCCCCAGCTTTTCCTCCATCTTCCCAGCACCTTCCCCCCTTCCCAGCAGGTTCGAGTCACTCTTGGGGTGGAGGAGGAGTCGTACATCCGAGGACATTTCCACTGCTGGCACCGAGTCAGGACTCCCCAGCAGCCGATAATGATGTTGCCCATCTCCTCTCAGCGGGGAGGGATTAAGTCATGAAGCACAGCCCTCCGAGCTGCTATCGCAGCTTTCCGGGATGGACGGATAGGAAGGGTCATTTCAGCTGGCACCGATGCATCACCCTGCGTTTTTCATCTCCTTTTCTACATCCGACTCAGCCTGATGCTTTGATGGGTAATGGCAGCAATATGCAGGGGGCAAGAAATGAGAGGGAGAGGAGAAGACAATAGCAAGCCACCTGTTGCCAACTTCCCCAGCTTTCTGCTGAAAATTTGTAAGGTAAAAACCTCCAGCAAGAGACTGCAGTTTTATAGTCAAAAGCAGCTAGGCCCTAGAGGCTCCAAAGCATCAGCCTCAGAGGGGTCTCTTGCAGGAAAACACAGGACAAGGGACAGTCTCTGATCCATGAACCATACTTTCGTGCCTGAAAATTACAGGCATGCTCGAAAGCATGCCAGTTCCACAGCAAAAGGAGGGCAAAAGCCTCTCTCTTCTAACACACAGGGACCAGCACAGCATGGCTCAACCTGCCACGGGCAGGAAAATTGATCTGTCTTATTGAACACTTGCCTGACACGCACAGCTGAATTTTGGGAAGCTGAGGTTTGTGCTTTCGCATACAGCGCCGATGACGGGCACGCTAACATGGGTTGGCTTCTTCGTGGTAACTTCTTGTGGGAAAGCCGTTACCCTCGGAAACAAAAACAGCCTCCTGTGAGCCGCCTTGCACTTACCTTGGGGGAGTTACAGTGGGAGCTGACTTGCTGCAAATTCACACCTAGCTCACCTCAATCTGTTTGCACACTCGTGCTTCGAGAAGGCTGGGAGCGGTCAACGTTTGCTTATTGCCGATGCAGGTCACAGAGACATTAGCTTTGGTCAGCTGGCGGCCAAAGAGATAACAGACCGGCAGCGAGGCCAAAAGATTGTGTGCTGAGGTAAGCGGCTCCCTATGATCATCTGCAGGTCAGCACGACCCTGAAGAGATGCCTCTGACCAGCGTGTCTGTGCATATGCACACAACAGTTAATTATTCATTAGTGTGAAAGAAGCACGAGTAAAGAGAGCATGGTATGGCCGAAGGTATCATCACTCTCCAACACGAGGCATTCCAAAGACACTGGCTTTACCTTTTCCTCTGGACCTACGGGGATAAAACAGAGGAGATAGAAAGTCATGTAGGAGAAAATCATCTTTTCCACCTGCCAGCTCAGAAAGTGCCAGTCAACAGTGCTATCTTCATGTAAAGGCAGCCAGCTGGAGTGAGACAGAGTAACCACACCAAGAGACAGCTCAAAGGATTTGGACTCTTCTGCACTGCACAATGCTCCTGGCACGGTGGCCCACTGCACAGGGCAGGTATCATGGTACCAACTACCTTGTAATACCAGTTATGCGTCCCTCCTACCTCGCAATTCCCTTTCACCTGATCAGTAAAGAATTATGTGAGAGGACATCGGGCCCAGACAGCACAGATGGTCCAAATTTGAAATCATTTCTAGCTGTCTTCCTATTACTCTAATTCTTGGCTTATAGAAGAGCTCCTGACATGATGAAATGGAGGAAGGAGATCTCTAGCATCACACTGAGGTTCAGAGAGGAAAAAAAGGAATTGTGAGACCCCCCCCACCAGTCTGATCCACCGCAGGCACTAATGTAGAAAGGTCCTTCGGAATCGAACTATGGACTAGACTGCGGCCTCTCATAAAACATGAGATGCCAGTGGTACTGCTGGCGTCGTTCTGAGAGTAAAGTCTGAAAATCACGGAAGCCTCAAATGCGAGACCTGACAGTCAGAGCAGAGGCACATTGGCTGGGCAGAGGACATGGGTACACTCCCTTGCTGCTACTTAGACAGCCATGTGGACCGAGGACTTTGGCCAGCAGCACTACGGACTTGGCAACATTCCTCAGCATCGTGGCTTGGACTGGTGAAAGGAATTGAACAGGGAGGATGAGAGCATGTCTCGGGTACCTACGAGTCACCCAGGAAACAGGCAGGATGGACACTTGTCACTGTCCTCTGCCTGAGCTACACCATTGCATACTTACTTCCATGTTTCCTGAACTACTTTTCCTTCTCGTCCTCCACGTTGTGATTTTCATTTTAGAACATACACAGAAAAGGACATTTTATTAAATTTTTATTGTAAAAACACAGTTCCCCAGGTTTATATAAATAAGCCATATACGTAACATACAATTACGTTCATTCCATCCTCCGACATCGACAGCTTTAAAAAATGAAACAGGCTAAAAGAACGCAAGTCCAAAAAGACATTAGGTTTTTGATGACCAAGTGATATCTCACATGGAGCCTCCTTCCTCTACCAGCCTCCAAACAAGATGCTGAAAGTACACAGCACTTGCAACACCCCCAAGAACTGACAGGGAGGCATTCAAGCCTTATGAAGAGTTCTCACCCACTCTGCAGGCGTCGTCAGCCGCCTGTGTTTTCATGCTGTCTCAGTGCGCGGTGGGTGAGAAAGGAGGGGGCGGTTTGCATAGCAACCTCCTACACCCAGGCAGCTCAGCTGTTGTACCCCCAAAAGCAGCAGGGAAGGGCAAGTCAAGTCTGCTTCCCTGTGGCTAACACCTCCATGGGCAGCCCGAAGGGAGACCCTCGGCGTTGCCAGATCCGTTCGGACATCTTAGAAGGAAGGAAGAAGGTATTCTTGGCGTTCAGAGAGAGGAGAGACAGGTGCTGGTCAGAGCCATACCACATGGTAGTGGGGAAGGCAGGACACGACGTGGAACAAGTGGGAGGGAAAAAAAAAAAAAAAAAAAGATAGCACCTCTTCTCTTTCGCTTCCCCCTCTTAGCGCTGCTGTACAGCTCTGCAGCGTGTCGTGAGATTACCTATTCCCCACCTCCTTCCTGCTTCGGCTCAAACACCAAGGAAAGAGTCACAGACAGATGAGAAATCCCACGAGCAAGAACAGGACAGCTTAGCAAATTTATACACACACACACACACCAACTATATGTATCTCACGGAACTGTTACGTCAGTATGAAAAAAAAAAATCTTGATGTTTAACTATTAAAAATAAAGCCCCACCTCCAGATTGTACAAAACCTGTCAAGAGAAGGAAGAAATCTCTTGTATGCAGCGAGTCTGGGACCCAGCCAGATGTCAGGAGCACTTCCAAACACACACGGCCAGGCTGCCACCAAAGAACATGTATAGCAGATTCTTCACCTCGTGAGTGATCTCAAAGCCAAAACCTTCCCCAATCACCACGTGCCAGGAGGACCCAAATTTCTTGTCCATCATCTCTTTGATCATCTTGGCAGCACTCTGGAGAACGTTAAGGAGGAGAGTGTAGGGTGAGACAGAGCAAGCAGTGAGTTTTTATGCAAACATCCCCCTAGTCGTCTTCTCCCTTTAATAGACTACTCAAGCCATGGGCAACAGGTATAGCAGCTGCACTGCAGGAACTGGGAGCTCCCCAGAGCTACGCCCAAGGGCAAAACAGGTCTCTGTCTTCAGCAGCCTCCGACACAGCAGCTAGGAGAAATTAAAGAACTGCATCTAGCAATCACTTCTCTCGTTCACACAGTCTGAAGCAAGAGTTGTGGTTTAGATGCTGATGGAGTTATACTGAGTGCAGTGAGCATGAGAGGAGATTCAGGTCACTAAGCTGCGGCTATTTTTACAGGAGTCCATTTTTTTTTCCTCCAGCTAATTACCAAACACTGAAAATAGGCTGACTTTTAAAAGGCTCACTTCTCCCAGATCACACCCTGCTTGATCTAAAAAAGGAGAGAGGAAGATTTTACAGTGACATGCGGTGTCTCAGGCAGGATGGGATGGAAGGAATCTCTGGCTTCGTAGCTTTGCCTTGCTCCAACACAAAACTGCTCTGGCAACAAGCAGTCTGTGCCCTGCCCATGGAACAAAGTGTGTTCTCCTCTTCGGCTCTCAAAGTTAAGGGCAACCTTTCCAACAACGATAACTTCTGCATCACCCCCCATTTATATGGTCTCAGTAATTTCATTCAAGAGGCTGAAAGCTGAGAGGAAAGACTTAACAGACTGTACCTAAAGACTTTCATGTGCTCACCCCCAAAACAGGACTCTCTTCCCCACTCTGGTGGGGACGGCCTTGCTCAACACTGAAGAACAGATGGGAAGGGCCCGCCTCCTCACAGTTCTGAACCAAGCCCTCAGGACACAGGGCATTTTATAAACAGAGTGGAAGCATGTCACAGGCACGGCAGGATCAGGAAGGAGGTAAGGTTTGGGAGACAGCATCGCTACTAATTTCTGCTTCCTGCAGGAAAGCAAAGGGCTATTATGGATCTTACTGACAAAGGAAAGTGAAACTGAGATCCAGCCAAGGTCTTTGCCTTCTTCTACCCTTGCTGCGTGCAGAAAGAGAGTAACAGGATGTCAGGACCTGACTCCACTCTGCCCTACACCCTTAGCCCTGCTCCTGCAGGTTCCCTGAGCTGCAGCAACTCAAGGCTGGCCATTTTGGGATTTGGCTAGTACCTCATTGTTGGTGGCATATTTCTCACACGCCGTGACACACAGCTCCATGGCCTCTACGCGCATCTCCTCGGGCATGTCTGTGTGCTGGAAAGAGCAAACAAACAAGAGGAACTAAGCAGAAAAATAAGAGCTAGACAAAAGACAACAGCAAGTAGCCCTTACTTTTGCGCAGGCTATAGCAGGGGCCTAGACTGCTGGATGTGGGCAAAAGGCAGCTAGCCCCTGTGACTTTTAATGCTTGCTTCAAGGTGGGGGGCATCCCCAGCAACACGGGCTTGTCTGTACGCCAAGCATTTCCACTGTTTCAGAGAATGGTAAATATGAAAATGGCTTATTGCATTGTAAGCGATCCACTCATTCCTTTGTCCCAGCCAATGCAGAATTCTTCTCTACCTAACATTAAGACTAGCACCAAGTAAGCACAGCTTAAAGGAGGAGATAAAGACATTTGTCAGTTTTTCTGTTAGAAGATGAAGGGAAAGCATGTTAATACTGCTCCAACCACAGTCCTTAATTATTGCTATAAGCATAACAAAGAAATCTAAATTACACAGCCTTTTCTTCCTCTTCTGCTATCTGGCTGGCTAGCAAAATCTTTTACTCTAGCTTCTCTAGGAAAAAAAGCAAGCTGCATCCAGAACACAGGAGAGGGCTCCAAAGGTGGCATATTCAACCTATTAGACAGATTACTTTGCCCCAGGCTTCCCCTGGCTAATGGGGGGAAAAACGGTGCTAATAAATTTCCCTGACAGAGGTCAAGGAAAGGGAGAAAGTAGTGGTGACAACCGGGATCCCTGCAGGACCATCATTACACAGGTTCTCACAGCAACTACTCAGTGGGAGAAATTCTAATTTGGAGGTTGGTAAGAATGAAGCTAGAATTTCATATATGTAACACCGGTAAATGCGTAATCCATCTCTCTTCTTACCCTAATCAGTGGAAAGCAGTGAAGTCTTTTATAATCAGCCTCCTCCTTTTTCCCCTCCCCGGTGTCTGCCATGGTCCTTCCACAGTGACCCCAGGAAGGGGCAGAGGGGCTGCCCGGAGCTCAGCAAGGTGCTGTGGCGCGGACAGCTGAGAGGAACTCAGCTCTGTGAACACAGGCAGAGCAGCTTCAGCAG